TTATTATTATTATTATTGTTGTTGTTGTTGTTGTTGTTGTTGTTGTTGTTGTTGTTGTTGTCCTGGACCTAATAACTCTGTTGATTATAACTAGATCTATGCATCTGAGGTTTGTGCTGTCGTGCAACTTAACCCAAAAAGAGTTACCGGAAAGCCTTTGAAGCGTTCAGCATTGCAAAAGAAAGCAGGGAAAAAAGCATTTCAAATATGAAGCAGAAAAAGGAAAAGAAATCTCTTATAAGTTACAACCATACTGCACTTTTGAGGAAACTGGATGCCCAAATCTACTGTGTGTAACGCTCTTTCAAAGTTGGGACACATTGTGATTTTGCATATTGACAGGAAAGACACTATATTATTTTTTTTACGCACATGTTTATCAAAATCTTACAGCAATTTTTGTAGACAAAATACAAATCTGAAAAGCTAAAGCAAAAGACACATCTTTCACTAATCGGGAAGTTTTCACTTCCAAAGTCGTTATTCTCAAGAAACCAGGGGAAACTCAACCCACCCCAATTTCTCGAAAGAAAATGGTGAAATGGTATAGATTCAACACCCCTACCATAAGATCAGGGGTGTGGTTGAAATACAGCAGTAAGAAGGTGCCAAGCAGAAGCAGTAGAAAGGCTGCAGAAAGAGTCAGGAGCCCAGAGGAGGGGACAAATGAGGTGAGGGGGTGGGGGCAGAGAGTGGAGATGAAAGCGGAAGATATGACCTTGTCAGAGAGCTGGAAGAGAGGTGAAAGGGGAACATTTTAGAGAAGAAATAAATGTTCCGTCGCTGTCCTGTGTGCGTGTCTGTCAGTTGTACAATCGTATTGTAATTTAAGACTGCCACGTCTTCCAAACGATTGTTTGCTTGTTTTGGGGTTGTTTTTTGTGGTTTGTTTGCGTAAAGAAAAAGTTCAAGCACATCGACACAAGACACGTAGAGGTAATTTAGTGCTAAGAAATAGTAAAACAAATTGTGCAGAGAAACTAGAGAGGAAATGAAAGCAAGAGGGCATAATTATTAAGGGCCGACAAGAGGCGCCCTCTAACCAGCTGCCCTGTCAAAACGTGAAAAAAAAAATGAATAAACACATTAATTAAAATTGAACGACCGAATGAATGAATGCATAATGAATAAATGAATGAATTTAAGTGAATAAATGAATGAATTTAAGTAAATAAATGAATAAATAAATAAATAAATAGATAAAAAGATAAATAAATAAATAGATAAATAAATAAATAAAATCACAACAGTGTGGAACGTCTACAAAAATTAAAGAGGACACTCTTACACGTTTGTACAGCACACATCTCGGGTTTCCAGGAAATATGTCACTGGACACACACGTCACAGACACTGTGTTGTTGTTGTCTGTAAACTCTGGACTCCTGCACGTGAGGTTGCTAGGTTTTGCTGTTGTCGCAAAAGCGAAATAATTTTGACTTTTAAAAGACCGATAGTATGATTTTTGTGTTTATAGATCATGGTGATGATGATGATGATGATGATGAGTGTGTGTGTGTGTGTGTGTGTGTGTGTGTGTGATGATGATGATGAGGATGATGATGATGAAGATGAGAGCTACATGGAGTTTATCATGAGCATCCAATTCGATCTATTAATATTCAACTAAGATGTTGGTCTAAGCTAAGATTGTCTATCTGAAGCCGGTAATTCTAGATCTAGCTCTCAATACACAATATAAAACTCATGTAGTAAGAGTTGACCTCTGGTCTAAGTCTTAGGTTTTTATCGACGTTTTTTTGTATTGATCGGTCGGACAAATGTGTTTCTGTTTCAATTTATAAAAACTGTAAGGTCAGATTATAGATCTAGATCTAGATCTAGTCCCAAAGAATCAATTATTCAAAAAATATAATTTTGATTAATTAGTACTGAAGACATACTTGGGGATGAACACTAGATAAAAACAAACGACTAGATTCTAGTCGGCAACAATGAACAGTAATAGTGAGAGAAGACAGTTACAATGACATGTAGACCCAGCAATGACATGGACAATAACAGAGTACAGATAGGTACACACATACAGATAGGTACACATCCTGGTTAAAATAAGAACTCCAAGGTCTCTATTAGTGAGGGTCGATAATGAGTTGAGTGTGTCAAGTACATGTATGTGTGGATTCAACACCATTGACAGTTTCAACATGGGGATTGGGTGTGTGTGTGGATTCAACACTATTGACATTTTCAACATGGGAGTTGGGTGTGTGTGTGGATTCAACACCATTGACAGTTTCAACATGGGAGTTGGGTGTGTGTGTGGATTCAACACCATTGACAGTTTCAACATGGGAGTTGGGTGTGTGTGTGGATTCAACACCATTGACA